TTTTGATAACTGTTAAATTACAACAATAACGACAGAGTTCAGCTTTACTAGAATTATGTTGGTTTGATAACTGTTAAATTACAACAATAACAACAGAGTTCAGCTTTACTAGAATTATTTTGGTTTGATAACTGTTAAATTACTACAATAACGACAGAGTTAACCTTTACTAGAATTATGTTGTTTTGATAACCGAAGTCCAGTTTTGATGTTCTTATATTCTTTTCTTGTAGAAGTAGTTTCCGTTTGACTGACCTCAAGGACATGTAAATGTTACTGTTTTTACTTTCCTAAAGACAGTTCAATACTGCTACAAAAGCAAAACTTATTTACAGTTAATTAAATAATAATAACTGGAAAATTCTGTTTACAGAACGTGAATATTTCAGTCATGATAAACATGTTTCACTATGCGAAAAAAAAATTAATATATATTTCATCAGAAGGGTTTTAATTTTTCATATAAACCTTTGTAAATATTTTCATAAGTGCAGAATAATCTTTTAAATTCGGCATATTGATTTCATTATCCTTAATCAATAGGGTTGAGAAATCATTAGGTTTACTCAGGATCTGTATGTTTCTTTTCAAACAGTTTTTGTCAACATAATATTGGAAGTTTCATTATTTTGGACCTCAGACATAAGACCGAAATGATGTTAACAAACATAATGAAGATGCAGCAGGCCATTAGAAATAACCATTCTAAACCTTGGGGTTGAAAAACCAATTGAAAAGTCACCTGAGGTAATTATTTAAATCTTCAAGCAGGCAAAAAAACGAACATTGAAAATTCACCAGGGGTGGTTACTTTGCCAATAATTACATATGGAAAAAACATTGGAAAGTCACCTGATGTAGATACTCTGTCTATTACATCAGACAAAGAAAAACAGAACCATTGGAAAGTCACCTGATGTAGATACTCTGTCTATTACATCAGACAAAGAAAAAAAGAACCATTGGAAAGTCACCTGATGTAGATACTCTGTCTATTACATCAGACAAAGAAAAAAGAACCATTGGAAAGTCACCTGATGTAGATAATCTGTCTATTACATCAGACAAAGAAAGAAAACCATTGGAAAGTCACCTGATGTAGATACTCTGTCTATTACATCAGAACAAAGAAAAAAAGAACCATTGGAAAGTCACCTGATGTAGATACTCTGTCTATAACTTCAGGCAAAGAAAGAAAAACCATTGGAAAGTCCCTGATGTATATACTCTGTCTATAACTGCAGGCTTAAAAAAGTAATAAAAACATTGGAAAGTCACCTGATGTAGATACTCTGTCTATAGCTGCAGGCAAAAAAAAACACTGGAAAGTCACCTGATGTAAATACTCTGTCTATAACATCAGACAAAGAAAAAAAAACCATTGGAAAGTCACCTGATGTAGATACTCTGTCTATAGCTGCAGGCATAAAAAAACCATTGGAAAGGCACCTGATGTAGAGATACCCTGTCTATAACTTCAGGCTAAAAAAAAATATATTGGAAAGTCACCTGATATATATACTCTGTCTATAACTTCAGTCTTAAAAAAAAAACATTGGAAAGTCACCTGATGTAGTTATCTAAACCTTTGGGTTGAGAAACTGAAATAGTTCCAAAACATTTCCTGAAACAGCATACTAAGATTCTCTGTCTAAACCTTTTTTGGACTCAGATGAAGAACACAAATTTACTTTATCTTCTGTAAAGCATTAGAAACTCTTCTGATCCCATTTCTTTGTCTTTAAAATATATATTTAATGTAATTGTGGGATAGATTTTAGGTCAAAGATAAACAAAACAAAGTAGGATTTATTTTCTTGGAGCAAAGGATTTTTGGATGCTATAATCTTATCTTTTTCCCGTATTTTACACGTTATCGAAATTTCATCACAACTTTTTCATGTTAGATATAACTTGTTTGTTTTAAAGAATCGAAACCTTGTTGTAACTTATCGCTGTCCCACCAGGGGACTGAATGTAAAAACTCAGTTGTCAAATTCGAAACATTTCCAAAAAAAGAGTTTTTAGTTATTTGTTTAATAATCTTCACCATCGTCGTTAATGACATCCATACCAAAAATATACACTTATTTAGTTAAGAATTGTTTTACGTGAATGAACATCGCGCAATAACACGAAGTCTCAAAGAAATCTTTTTCCAAACTACATGGTTCAACCACAAATATGTTTGTTTGTAGTTTAAGCACAAAGCCATACAATGAGCTACTTTGCTCTGCCAACCGCGGGTATTGAAACACGGATTCTAGCGTTGGGGTGCCACAAATCTGGGCAAGTATTTATTCATTATCATATCTCAAAGAGATGTAAATAATATATGAAAAATATTGTATAAATACTTCACATAAACTGACATGGAAAATGCTCAACCATTGCCAAATAATTCGATACATTAAGGCCGGTTTGGCCTAGTGACTAGCGTGCTAGAAGCGGATCAGAGGGTCCAAAGTTCGCGTCCCGTTGTTGCAAAATCTCACTCTGCATTTTGAGGCAGTGAGTGAGTCAAATTGCACTATTCAGTTAAATTAGTCCAAGAGTTGGCGGTGGGTACTGTGGACTAGCTGCCTTCTCTCTAATCTATCGGTTCCAAATTAGGAGCGATTAGCGAAGACAACCCTTATGTAGCTTTGGGCAACTATCACAAGCAAACCAATACATTGATTTATTAACTGTCACATGCGCTTGCTTGTGGAACATGCGCAAAACACTAAATATTTACAGAGTAATTTCATTACTTCGGATTATTTTCCTTATATACAGGAAACTATATCATCAAATTCAGACGATACATTTACGTCAATGTAATTAAAGAACAGTGGTTACATTTACACTTGCTTCACCAGCCTTCTTTATTTATAATAATAGATTTATTGTCCAGTTATATAAGATAAAGATAAAATAGAATTATTGCCTATAATTAGTCATTTTTAAGGAAGGTTTGTTTTTATTTATAAAACTGTTCAACTAAAACAGTTCTCTCTCATTCTCCACTTACACAGATTATTAACTGCATTCATAATTTATTTTCTGTTCACGCTGTCCCTCTATGGCTCTGAGGGCTAAAAACCTAGTTTCGATACCCTCGGTGAGCAATGCAAAGATAGCCCATTGTGTAGTTTTGTGCTTAAAAATAAAGAAGCTGTCCACACTGTTTTTCACACGACTAAATCCACGTTTACCTGTCCAACGTTTTCTTCTTAAAATAATCTGCTTCTCGACCAGATTCGTTATCCGGTTATCTTCTAACTAATTCTGTTACGACTCTATTAGCTCATGTGGTATCATAAGATTCTCTACGGTTTCCGGTAAAACATCTTGTCTTGTCAGTCCGTGTCTCTCCATCTTTTTCCCGCTCTTGGGGTTTACGTCAATCCTTGAAAAATTCACTTGCGGTTGTGCATAGGAAAACAAGACGCTAACTGCTCTTCGACGTTCATCCAGGTTGTAACTTCCAGTAAAAAGGAAAATACATGCAGCTCTCTCTGGAAGCCAGTTGCATACCGCGAGCGATCCCACGTGATACCCGTGAACCAATAATAGCACAACAACTGCAACTTTCAAGCCGTCTCCAAGCATTATTTACTCTACAAAGCAATCACTAGAGCGAGATACTTGCATTTCAAGATGGGACGATTCCAACGCCTTTGGGGGAAGGGGGGAAATAAGTAGTGTTTTAAACAAAGATGGAGAATTGTGAGTCAACGAGTAAAATATGGAGAACCATTTTACGACTTTGTTTATTGATCGTAAAAACTTGTAAATTAAATTGGGTCAGCCAGGTTTAAAGCTCATTAAAAAGTCTCACTCATTCCCGAACAATATTTTATAAACAATTAACCAAAACGTCTAATAAAAGTCACACAAAGTTTTCTCAAGTCACTTAATTACTGATGCTTTGTACGCTGATTAACTACAGAGTTTTGATATATTATGATGCGTACATATATATAAAAATGAGGCTGTTTCCCCAAATGTTCCCCTTTAAGGAACGGCGAGATATTTACATACCCCGTTCGCGCCATCAGAATAAAAAAAAAATGTTAACAAGAGGAACTTTACACCCCTTCTATACCTTTTGCTCCACTGGTAAGAAAGCGGATGACAGAGGGGGAAAAAAAAGAGTTGTTTTGATAAAAGGCCTAGCAGATGGTGTGCTAGCATACACGAAAAAGGAACAACCGGTATATATTATGTATCTATAGTGAGACATAACGTTCTCATTCACAGCGACGCGGCGGTGGAAACAAAGGGTTGTGCAAGGAGCTTGCCGAACAGGTTTTCCCGCGGTCCGTCTGTTGATAAGCTCGTGTTCTTCGTGTCCTTCGTTTGAATGTACCTCGAGCGCCTCATTTGTGTCGAAAGGGTTCAAAAGAGGAGAAGGAGTCATCTTGACTTGTTAAAAACCTGGATTCAACATAGCCCTCATGATCGTAGTGTTATCTAATACAGTCATCTTGACTTGTTAAAAACCTGGATTCAACATAGCCCTCACGATCGTAGTGTTATCTAATACAGGCATCTTGACTTGTTAAAAACCTGGATTCAACATAGCCCTCACGATCGTAGTGTTATCTAATGCAGTCATCTTGACTTGGTAAAAACCTGGATTCAACATAGCCCTCATGATCGTAGTGTTATCTAATACAGGCATCTTGACTTGTTAAAAACCTGGATTCAACATAGACCTCACGATCGTAATGTTATCTAATACAGGCATCTTGACTTGTTAAAAACCTGGATTCAACATAGCCCTCATGATCGTAGTGTTATCTAATACAGGCATCTTGTCTTGTTAAAAACCTGGATTCAACATAGCCCTCATGATCGTAGTGTTATCTAATACAGGCATCTTGTCTTGTTAAAAACCTGGATTCGACATAGCCCTCATGATCGTAGTGTTATCTAAAGGAGTCATCTTGACTTGTTAAAAACCTGGATTCAACATAGCTCTCGTGATAGTAGTGTTATCTAATGCAGTCATATTGGCTTGGTAAAAACCTGGATTCGACATAGCTCATGATTGTAGTGTTATCTAAAGGAGTCATCTTGACTTGGTAAAAACCTGGATTTGACATAGCCCTCATGATCTTAGTGTTATCTAATGCAGTCATGTTGGCTTGGTAAAAACCTGGATTCAACATAGCTCTCATGATCGTAGTGTTATCTAAAGGAGTCATCTTGACTTGGTAAAAACATGGATTCGACATAGCCCTCGTAATAGTAGTGTTATCTAATGCAGTCATATCGGCTTGTTAAAAACCTGGATTCGACATAGCCCTCATGATCGTAGTGTTATCTAAAGGAGTCATCTTGACTTGGTAAAAACATGGATTCGACATAGCCCTCATGATCATAGTCAGATGCAGGTAAAGCTAGATGTCCGTTTTTATTTTGTCATTGTTTTTTCGGGGCATTATAAAATCATTAATTTGCTTATTTAAAACTTTTTAATGTCTCAAAAATAATTCAAATGATTGGTTTGGTATTTGATACAGCGTTTCCGTAACAAAAAATAATTTTTACGACAAATGTTCAAGCATTAACGAAATATAATGATAAAAGTACTAACAAAACTGATATTATTATCATATATAATATTGAGCTTTACAACCATCTGCCACGTGTTTATTTCACATCAAACAGAGTGATGCTCATAATACGTTATTCCAAAAGCACATAGTCCTGAACTACGACTAACCACGTGTTTCCATGTTATGAACACTTCTGTCTGGATGATAGATAGAACTGGGTAATTTGTAAGTTACTGATTTTTTTCGATGCTACACATATTAAAATTTTTCTACGTTTGAGAGCGACACCTGACGTCCTGCTTGTTGAACCACTTAAAAATCCTTAGAAGTCTTACAATATATTTTATATTTTCAAAATGAGACCCAAAACTTGAGCGCTTTCTTCTTTATTCTCCTCGAGAAGTATAGTCAACTATTCGAAAGCGCTCAAGTTTTGGGTCTTATTTTGAAGATATTACAACTTTTGTGTGCTAACTATTTAACCTGAATATATGTTATAACTATTCAACATAAATTGGTGTTGAATGGTGTTAAGGCACCGGATATGGCTGATATAATGTGATTCTTTAGTTTCAGTCTTAATATATTAGACTAGCAAATGACGCGTGAAGGATATACTTACCATCTTGTTATATTAACATAAAAAGTACAGGATGGAACATTCTAAGTAACTTGTATGATTTCAGTCATTGATGAGATTAAAACTAGGCCTACATGGGCTGGATGTAACAATCTAAGTAGCTTGTAGGCTTTTAGTCATTGATGACATTAAAACTAAGCCTACATGGGATGGAGTTATAGCTACAAATAAGTTCTGTTAATTTTCTTACTGCTAAACACCCTTCGAAAAATTGTGTTTGGGAAAATATAACGCATCTTTGTTGGTGGAGAGGATGACTGTATTTTCTAAAAATAGCTCAAAATATGAATTTACCAAATGTATATGTGAAAATTAGTTGATCAGAAGAATTCTTTGAAAATTGTAAATAAGCCATTGAAAATGTGCATAATTTCAGTTATACTTCGTCATACATTGCTGCTTTACACAAAATGTTGCTTTTTATTCGTTTGTTCTGTTTGTTTGCTAGTTATTTAGCACAAAGCTATACAATAGGCTATCTGTGCTGTGCCCACCACAGGTACCGATACCCGGGTTTTAGCTTTATATGCCTTCCGACTTGCCGCTGAGCCACTGAAGGGGGCGTTGCTTTTAATTGTTTTCTTTTTTGAACGATTAATATGTAACAGTTAAAATTTTAATTGCCATCGACATTCCAAGATACATAGATTTGACGCGTATGATGTTTAGAAGTATCATGATTTCAGAAAATATCCCAACCAATTTGAAATCCGGGATATATTGAAAGTAAAAAACAAGTAAGAATAAAGAAAATTTAATATCTAATCAAAAATACCCACCTTTGTTTTTTCACCTAAGGTGTTTTTCATTAG